GTGATTGGCTGATTAGAAATTAAGTGTTAACGAGCAGTTGGACAGGTGTACCTAATAAAGTGGCCTGTGAGTGTATAGCCAGTTTTTTGATAAACTTAGTTATCTTTTTGTTTATTTTAGCTTTAAGCTGAATAAAACAATGGAACCAGTTTTAGCTCCTCGATAGTCTTTGTCTACTTTCAGCTTTTAGTAGATGTTTACAAGTTTTAGCCTCTAGCTAGACTTTTTTTTCTTTTAGCTTAAAGCTCACCTGTTGTAACTTTTAGCTAGCCTTTTGATACTTTTAGCTTTAAGCTAGCATACAGCATTCTTTATTTTTATCTTCTTTTAACTTTTGGTTTATGTTTTACTGCATTTAGCTAGCCTTTTCATACTTTTAGGTTTTCATTACCATCTTGATGTTCTAAGAATTTAGCTAGTCCTTTGATACTTTTGCCTTTTAGCTAGTCTTTTGGTATCATTAATTAACTCTTGGTTCATTTGGCCTTTTGCTAGTTTTAACTTCTAATTTTTGTGTACATACAGCTTTTAGTACATTGTTTACAAATTTTAGCCTCATAGCATTTTTCAACTTTTGGCTTGTAGCTCACCATTTGTAACTTTTAGCTTTTAGCTAGCATACAGCATACTTCCCCTTTTTTATGTTTAGTTCATGTTTTGCTCTTTTTAGTTACCATTGTGTAACTTTTAACTAAGCTTTTGATGCTTTTAATTTTGAGTGACCATTTTGTTATTCTTAGCTGTTAGCTAGCCCTTTGCTACTTTTGCCTTTTAGCTACTTTTTTATCATTTTAGTTAGCTTTATGCTTAGCCTTTAGTAAACATTTTACTAGGTTTTGCTTTTTGATTGTTTTAGCTTTTAGCCTATTATTTACACGTTTTAGCCTCTAGCTAGCCTTTTTCTTATTTTAGCTTATTTCTTAACTTTTGTACCTTTTAGCTAGCCTTTGGACATTTTGGCTTTTAACCAGCTCAACTTCTCAGTTTTTTATCCACTTTTCTTTCTTAACTTTTAGTTATATATTTTGCTACTTTTAGCTTTTAGCTACTGTTCTGTTATGTCTCATTTTTAGCTATGGCTTTGCTAATTTATCTTTAAAATTTGCTTTTGTTTAGCTAGTTATTTTTTATAGTTAGTTTAGCTATTTACCAGCATTTGTTTTTCTAAATGATGCTTTAGCTTTAGCATCTGTAGCTTATTTTCTGCTGCTTTTACATTAAAAGTTTTACCCACTCATCGAGCAAAAATGTTCGGCTCATTCAGGACTTTAAAGTCAAAACTTTTTAATTTTTTAAGTCATTATTAGCTCAGAAATGTTGGAGATTAGCTTTTATCTAGTGTAATACCAGTTTTAGCTATTAGCTACTGTTTTGTCAATCTTAGCTTTAAGTAATTTTAGCTTCTCTTTGCTAATTTTAGCTTCTTTGCAACTGTTTTTGCCAATTTAGACTTTTAACTATTGTTTTGTTGGTTTAAGCTTTTAGCTACTTTTTCTGGTCGTAGCTATTATTGTTTTGACATTTTAGCTTTTAGCTATTGTTTTGATGGTTTTAGCTATTATTGTTTTGACATTTTTAGCTTTTAGCTATTGTTTTGATGGTTTTAGCTATTATTGTTTTAACTGTTTTAGCTTTTAGCTATTGTTTTGATGGTTTTAGCTATTATTGTTTTGACAATTTTAGCTTTTAGCTATTGTTTCGATGGTTTTAGCTATTATTGTTTTGACATTTTTAGCTTTTAGCTATTGTTTTGTTGGTTTTAGCTAATATTGTTTTGGTAATCTTAGCTTTTAGCTTGCCCATTTTTAGCTATGGTTTTACCAATTTTATCTTTAAAACTTGCTTTTTTTTAGCTACAGTTATGCTACCAGCATTTGTTTTTCTAATTAACCATGATGCTTTAGCTTTAGCATCTGTTGTGTATTTTCTGCTGCTTTTAGATGAAAAGTTACTGCTGTGAGCCTTTAGCTTGTGTTCGGCTGATTTTAGCCTCTTGTTTTAACAGTTTCAGGTTGTTGTTCTTTGTTTTGCAGGTGCTGCAGTCCTGCCTGCTGCACATCATCCACAAAGGTCGGTACATGGCCTCCAACTACAGCGGGGCGTTCTTCCGGGCCGAACACAACGTGTCGGAGATGGAGGCGTACTGCGGCGCCCTGTGCCAGCTGCGCGCCCTCCTCTACCTCGCCCGGCGGCTGCTCAACGACAACGAGCACGGTCAGCTGTACGTGCAGCAGGACGCCGAGCTGAGCCGCAGGTTCGTCCAGGAGTACAGCTCCATGCACAAAGCCTGTTTCTACGGCCGCTGTCTGGGCTTCCAGGTCAGAACCGGTCCGGTTTGATAAGTAACATTCAGCGTGGTGACCCGAACGGGACTGAAGGTAAATATTTACTCTCCACAGTTCTCTCCTGCCCTCCGACCGTTCCTGCAGACCGTGGTCATCAGCATGGTTTCATACGGAGAGACCTTCGGGAAACAGCAGTCTGGGATCGGTGAGTCCTCCTCCTCCTCCACCTCCTCTTCCTCCTCCTCTTCCTCTCAAGCTCCCGTTTGAAGTTTTCCTCACCTTCATCGTCCTCTTCCTCCAGGTACGGCCGCCCTGTCTCTCCTCACATCTGGGAAATACGTCATCGACCCGGAGCTGCGAGGAGCTCAGTTTGAACGCATCACCCAGAATCTGGACATGCAGTTCTGGAAGTCCTTCTGGAATGTCACAGAGTCCGACGTTTTATCAGTAGGTGGGGGAGGGGTTAACTGTGGGCGGGGTTGTCAGTGGGTGGAGTTATCAGCGGGCGGGGTTATCAGCAGGCGGAGTTATCAGTGGGTGGAGTTATCAGCAGGCGGAGTTATCAGTGGGTGGAGTTATCAGTGGGCAGAGTTATCAGTGGGATGTGTGATCAGTGGGATGTGTTATCAGTGGGCGGAGTTATCAGTGGGCGGAGTTATCAGGCAGGGTTATCAGTGGGAGGTGTTATCAGTGGGTGGGGTTATTAGTGGGCAAAGTTATCAGTAGGCAGGGTTATCAGTGGGAGGTCTAATTAGTGGGCGGAGTTATCAGTAGGCAGGGTTATAAGTGGGAGGTCTTATTAGTGGGCAGAGTTATCAGTAGGCGGGGTTATCAGTAGGCAGGGTTATAAGTGGGAGGTCTTATTAGTGGGCAGAGTTATCAGTAGGCGGGGTTATAAGTGGGAGGTCTTATTAGTGGGCAGAGTTGTCAGTAGGCGGGGTTATAAGTGGGAGGTCTTATTAGTGGGCAGAGTTATCAGTAGGCGGGGTTATAAGTGGGAGGTCTTATTAATGGGCAGAGTTATCAGTAGGTGGAGTTATCAGTAGGTGGAGTTATCAGTAGGCAGGGTTATAAGTGGGAGGTCTTATTAGTGGGCAGAGTTATCAGTAGGCGGAGTTATCAGTAGGTGGAGTTATCAGTAGGCAGGGTTATTAGTGGGAGGTCTTATTAGTGGGCAGAGTTATCAGTAGGCGGAGTTATCAGTAGGTGGAGTTATCAGTAGGCGGGGTTATCAGTGGGAGGTCTTATTAGTGGGCGGAGTTATCAGTAGGCTTGGCCATGTCAAGTTCTCTTTGTGAAATATTTACTTCTTTTGGATTTTTCAGGGTTTCACCCGGATCGCCTCGAACCCGGTGCAGGTGAACATCACACTTACCGTACCTCCGGTCGCCCTGCGCCTCCCGCTGGCCTCAGACCCCAAACTGCTGACCACTGTCTCTCCTCCCATYGCCCACTGGGGCCCCGGGCCGGTCCACATGAGACTGGTCTCCTATCAGCTTCGAGAAGGTCAGGTGAGGATCCAGGAGGGAGGACTTGACGATCAGGACCAGAACTAGCCTGGTCCAGCTGACTGTAGATTATTAATCTGTAATCTGTAACAACAGTCTGGTCTTCTTCTTCCTCTCGTGTTGCAGGACAGTGAAGAGCTGCTGACGTTGTCTCGAGATGACCCGGCTCCGGTCTCTGGGACCCGCATGCCCTGGGTCCAGGAACAGCCTCGCTCCCCCTGGCTGCTCGTCCACTTCCACGGAGGAGGCTTTGTGGCCCAAACATCTCGATCCCACGAGGTGCAGAACCCAGTCCTTAGTCCCAGAACCACTAAACCAACCAGTCAGCTTTAATTTACCTGACTTTGATCTTCAGAACTATCTGCGGAACTGGTCCAAGGAGCTGGGTGTCCCGGTTCTGTCCGTCGATTACTCTCTGTCCCCTGAAGCGCCTTTCCCTCGAGCTCTGGAGGAATGTTTCTATGCCTACTGCTGGGCCCTGAACAACTGCCACCTGCTGGGTCAGTACTCACCTTTACCTGTGCAGGTAACWGTCAGTGTGTCGTCTGTTGGTGGAGATGTGACGACCAGACACAGAAACAAAGGAGGTGGGTCCAACATCAGGAGAGAAATATCACAAAAATACAAGAAAATAAAGGGCTGWGTCGAAGAAGTTATTAATGTGATTAAAATAAAAGCATCTTTATTTTTATACACTAATCCAGGTTCTGATGACTAATGTTACTATTTAAAACATAAAATTAATCCTCTCCTCCAGCATCACGCTGCTGAATCATTTTAGTCCCTGAGTCTTTTTAGTCCCTGAGTCTTTTTAGTCTCTGAGTCTATTTAGTCTCTGAGTCTTTTTAGTCTCTGAGTCTTTTTAGTCCCTGAGTCTTTTTAGTCTCTGAGTCTATTTAGTCTCTGAGTCTTTTTAGTCTCTGAGTCTTTTTAGTCTCTGAGTCTTTTTAGTCTCTGAGTCTTTTTGTGTCCATGAATCTTTTTTGTCTGTTAGTCTTGTAAGGCTTTTTTGTGTCTCCGAGTCTTTTTTGTCTATGAATTTTTAGTCTCTAAGTCTTTTTTGCCAGGATCAGTCTCATATTTTCTTTTGTTTTATATTTTTTCAGGTGTCTTTATGTCTCTTGTTTTTTTTCTGCATCTTGTCTCTAAAAATTTCAGCTGATGTTGGACCTGCAGCTGTTTTTATTCAGCTCAGTGTCTCAGCTGGTTTCTGCCATCGTTCATCATATCTTCACTGAAAATAAAACTTAACTTGAATGATTTTAAAGTAAGTCTTTAAAAGGAGACAAACAAAAAGACTGAAGGCGTTGCCTCTGGTTCTGGTTCTGGTTCTGTAACTTCTCAGAATCAAAGCGGGCCTGTTCTCTGAGTGTTTTTCCAAAGTGATGAAGAACAAAGAGATCTTTGAGAGGACCTGAAGCCTTCAGACAGGATTAAATCTGATCTGTCTCAGCAGAAACGGTCTGGGTTCTGATGACCGGTTCCAGCAAACTAAAATCTGAATTATTTGGAAGAAAAATGTTGTCCAGAAGAGCTCAGATGTGATCCTGACTGTTCTAAGCTCTAATAATCAACGTTCTCCTCTGATCTCATCAGGTTCCACGGGGGAACGGGTCTGTCTGGCTGGGGACAGCGCAGGAGGGAACCTCTGCATCACGGTCTCCATGAGGGCCTTGACCTCCGGGATCCGGGTCCCTGACGGGATTGTGGCTGCGTACCCGGCCACCTTGCTCACCACCGACGCCTCGCCCTCCCGCCTGCTGACACTCATCGACCCGCTGCTGCCTTTAGGCGTCCTCGCCAAGTGCCTGAATGCCTACGCAGGTGTGTGTGTGTGTGTGTGTGTGTGTGCGCGTGTGTTCCTTCATGCCTAGTTAACCTCAGCTGTTTTTTCTAGAGAACAGGAAACGGAACATCAAATAGATTTATATTTAAACCGGATCTTGAGGAAAGATGAAAATATTTAACCCACAGCTCAAGTTAATCTAGCTGGAAACATCCGGTTAGAACGTCAGTCACTAACACGGAGAACCAGAGAACACGGTTAGACCGTCAGTCACTAACACGGAGAACCAGAGAACACGGTTAGACCGTCAGTCACTAACACGGAGAACCAGAGAACACAGTTAGACCGTCAGTCACTAACACGGAGAACACATTTAGGGCTTTAGTCACAAACATGAAGAACAGGAGAACATGGTACAGACTCTTATTTACATTATTGTCAGACACTTTTACTGTGTTCTCCGGTTCTTCCTGTTACTAACAAACGTTCTCTTGATGTTCTATTTTTCTTCCTGTTACTAATAAATGTTCTCTTGATGTTGTATTGTTCTTCCTGTTACTAATAAATGTTCTCTTGATGTTCTCTGGTTCTTCCTGTTACTAACAAATGTTCTCTTGATGTTCTCTGGTTCTTCCTGTTAGTAAATCTTCTCTTGATGTTCTCTGGTTCTTCCTGTTACTAGTAAATCTTCTCTTGATGTTCTCTGGTTCTTCCTGTTACTAGTAAATGTTCTCTTGATGTTCTCTGGTTCTTCCTGTTACTAACAAACATTCTCTTTATGTTGTTCTCTCGTGTTCTTCGGTTCTCCTCAGGGTGGGATTTCCAGACGGTGCAGCCTATGGAGCGGCGGGGCAGCCTGAGCGCTCTGGGCCGAGACACGGCCATGTTGCTCAGTGACCTGACTCAGGGAGCCTCTAACTGGATCCAGTCCTTCCTGGACCCGACCCGGGCCTCAGCTGGTTCTGTGTTACAGAGAGGGAACGAGACCCGGAGCACACAGACCAACAGCACCACCCTGAAGTACTCTGCGGACCTCCTTCATTACCCGGACGGCTTCCAGCCGCTGCGCTCTGACTGTCCTGCATTCGTCCAGCCCACTTCCTGTCCCGTCTTCAGGAACCCGTTTGTGTCGCCGCTGCTGGCGCCGCCGGGCCTGCTGAGAGGCCTGCCTCCTGTACACCTGGTGGTAAGGAAGTGTGTGTCTGTTAGCAAAATATCCCACAGACTACTTGTAACAGCAACATGTTSGCCTGCAGGCCTCGGCTCTGGACGCTCTGCTGGACGACTCCGTGACGTTTGCYAAAAAGCTGCGGGCGATGGGCCAGCCCGTGAGCCTGACCGTGGTGGACGGTCTTCCTCACGGCTTCCTCAGCCTGTCCCAGATCTGCAAGGAGACCCAGTTCGCTTCGGACATCTGCGTGGCTCGGATCCGGGAGATCTTTCAGCCGGAAGACGCAAGAACCGCTCATCACAAGAGTCCCTCGCTGGGAGAGACTTAGAGCCAAACTGTGCTCCGGTTCTTCAGCTGGACCTGCTGCTGTCTGGTTCTGATTCTAGACATGAGGGGAAACCGTGTGGACACACCTCACTGCACTTTAAACCAGCTCAGCCATCATGTGATCCTGATCACAAAAAGACTTTTATTAATGTTTACATGTTTACCTGTCAGATTAATGAACCTCCTCCTGCTTCTGGAAGACGTTTTAAATTCMTTTTTATTGTTTTTCAGCTGACGTYTGTTCATGTTTACAGATTTAATCTGCTTCTTTTATGTTTGTAAATCAGGAAAATTCAGAGTTTTACAAAAATCTAAGTTTAAAAGTTAAAGGTATTATTGTTTCTGTCAAATAAACACTGAGTGGAAGTGTTGATCCCTGACAGGAAGTCAGCTTAATCACCTGCTGACAGGTAAATAAATCAGTTTTTGTGCCTTGAACTGACAGCTTCGTTGTTGAAGCTTTAAAATCTGATCAGGTTAAAAGTTGTACTTCTCATTATTAATRTTTGGATTTAAATAATTTATTTCCAGTTTGTCACATGTTAAAGAGGCATTTACTTGCTGAGAGTGTAACTTATTGTAAATTAATTATTTGTGTTTTGACTGTGGTGACATTCAAACCCCGGATTAAAACTAAAAATGTGATAGAAGAGTCTCCTTTTTTATTTTGTTGAACAATAATCAAACAGAAAGAAAGTTACAAAAGGTCCTCCAGCAGGTGTGATACCTCCGTCCTCCAGCAGGTGTGATACCTCCGTCCTCCAGCAGGCGGCGGCAGCAGCAGGATTATTATAAACAGCAGAAAAAAACCACCGAAGAAGAGGAGGCGCCCATGTCGATTTAAAGGAAGAAGAAACACAATAGAGACGAATTAAATCCAAACATTTCCAGCAGATTTGGAGGACGGTCCATGATTCACCGCACGACGAGGATTGCTCACCAAACAAGGGAGAAACTGAGGTAAGTTGAGCGGACTGGGAGGCATCTGCCCTCGGCTAAAAGCGTGTTGTTGTGGGGTTAGCTCGATGCTAACGCCTGAGCTAGCTCCGAGGCTAACTGCTGTTGATTGTTTCGTATTAAAAATCCGCATAAAACAAACATTTATWATTTAAACATAGTTTATAACCGTGTGTTGTCGTGTTAATTTTAATAAAATCTTGTAAAAGTCTGAATAGTTCCATCCTCTAAAGTCAAGTTTAGTTTTTTATAATTTTTGATTAGCCGTTAGCAGCTATTAGCTGTTAGCGTCTAATGCTTGCCTGACGCGCAGATTTAAGCCTCTTGTTTGATCCAGGAAGTAAAATCTAAGAAAGTTTTAAACCATCAGACTAAACTGAGACAAACATGTTATAAAGATGAACTCAGAGCCGTTTGAAGAGGCTCAGGAGSTCATTAATCTGGAGTGGTCCACGTTAAGGTGGAAAAACAAAAGCAGCCTGAGTTCTGTGGCTTAATCTGASTTTAATCTGTCCTGAACACACCTGGCTCTACCTGCGGAGCCGCARTAATAACAGATTAAAAACTTCTTCCGGTCACTTTTATAAAAACAAAAAACTCTTATTTTGTTTGTTTTAAACTCTTGAGCTTTTTCCTCCTTTCTGTTTCTTTTAAGCTAAGATGTGAAAGTTGAACCTGGACATGTTTGGTATTAATAAAAACCTGAACATCACTGCTAAAAACTCATGGAAAGTATTTTTACCTTCACCAAACACAGTTTAAATGACAGCAGCTGAATCAGAAAGTAAACAAACTTTACAAAATGGCGTCATTGCAAATCTGAAGTTTCTGACATTTGTTGTTTTTAAAACAAGTCAAAGTAAATACTTAAACAGGTTGTGAAGTGTTGAAAGTTTGTTTCCTTTTGATTCTGATCCAACTGAAGT